AAAGTAGTTCAAATATATATTTTTAAATGGTTTTGTCTCCACCTGCAGAAGATAAAAAGGGCAACAGCTCCATTCGTTTCCAGTCGTTCAGCCGGAAAGAGTCCATCCCTGAAGATGAGGTGGTGTTGAGGGAGCACAGTTTTGACTACAAGCACAGATACTGTGGTCACTGCAACACCACCACTGACATCAAAGAGGCCAACTTCTTCGGGAGGTCAGTACAGCACACTGTCATGCTACTGTTGCCTCACTAGGTGGCAGTCTACTGCTTTCAGGTCTGATCTCGCTGTTTGCCTCTCTGCCCATTTTTTTTAATCACATAGCAGAATAAGTGTCACGAATGCAACGAAATATAAAATATTTATAAAATGTCTGACCAGCTAAACTAGCGGGAGTAAAGCTTTGGTTTAGGTTTTGATTCGGTCCAGGTCATTTTCATGTTGTCTTCTAAAGCAGTTTGATCGGCGCCGGTCTGCATCTCATCTGGTACTGCACCGAATCAGTCTGTAGTTAGTTTTTACATTTATTATTGCTGATGGTCACACCATGAAACATGCGTTATTTTGAAAAAACTTGATCCATTCATCTGTTTGTGCAGTTGGACAATGCAGAAGAGCATGGATTGCTGCTATGACGGTTGTTACTGCCACTAGCTTTGTTGGTCGCACAAAGCTAGTGCATTTCTGTAATCACTCCCAGAGAGTTTGAAACAAGGAGCCAGTTCGCTGGATGACAGGACATGTTGGAGACTGCTGATGTGAAATGATTGAGAGTAGCGGCTGATTGATTGGGGTTCTGGCTGTGTTTCAGGCTCTGTTCTATGTGTTTAGGGTCATTATTTTCCTGGAAGGTGAATCTCAGTCTCAAGTGGCATGCTGAGACATTTTCTTCCATGATTGCCCTTTTGTAGCTCTGTCCATCTTCCCATTTCTGTTGCTGCAGAAGAAAAACATCTGAACAGATACTGAACAGTCCTTTTATGGAAGAAGCTGGTCTGGTCAGATGTGTTTGCTGTGCACCCTTGGCTTGTGCAAACTGTAACAGGACGACTTCTTTTTTTTGTTTTCCTTCCTCCTGCTCCGGTGCAAAAGCCAGGATTGTGGAGTACACGAATAATTGCTCCTCTAAAGTGAAAATGACTTGTCAGTTTATGTGGAGAGTTGTGTTTTGCCTGATTAGATGTTGTTGATGGATTGAACAGTCCTTTGTTATATATTCATAGTCTGTTTATCCCTGACTTGTCTCAGCAGTATTTATGAAAAGGCTTAAAAAACTAATAAAAAAAAAGACTCAGTGTAACCTCTGAATGCAGGTTTAGAGCATCTGACTAAATGGGACTAAATATAAATGTGTCTAGAGCTTTTCAGATTGTTATTGGCACAAAAAATGGAAAAATCAGACGTTTGAATACTTGTGCAATATGCTTTATGTCTGGTATGTTCTTCTTTATGTACTATGACTCCAGAGAAGCTGTTTAATTAGTCCTAAACTTTCAGACATTTAAATGTTTAGTTGATGAAACCACAGGCTGCATGTCCTGATGTACTGTGTGTCATGGCACATTATGACTCAGCATTGATTAACCTTATCCGGTTTGTCGTTGCATTTTGTTGTTGAGCTAAGTAACCAAACAGATTGTGTCACTTGATCCTGAACCTCACATACCAGAATATCCTGCTCTGTCACCTTTCATAAAATTACTGGAAAAATTTGCATTCTGCCAGAGCCATTCAATTGAAAAAGCACAGCACTGATTTCCAAGTAAAATCTTAAAATTTTACCAGGAACATTTTAAGATTAACGTTTCTCCTCCCAAGAAGATTGCTCAACGAGTCTAAGCGGTTATGTTTTCCTCTCCAGCAAGGGCCAATACATCGTGAGTGGCTCGGATGATGGCTCTTTTTTCATCTGGGAAAAGGAAACGACTAACCTAGTGAGGATCCTTCAGGGAGACGAGTCAATAGTCAACTGCCTACAGCCGCACCCAAGCTACTGCTTCCTGGCCACTAGCGGTATTGACCCTGTGGTTCGATTATGGAACCCCAGACCAGAGGTAAATAAACTATTTATCTTTTGTACACTGTTAATAAGCGATCTGGAAATGTGTAGAATTGGATGGTTTTGGTTAAGAATGAGATTTATTTATCTTCCAGGTGCCGTGTTCTTTACAAAGTCAAAGTTTGCACTATTATGCCATTAAAAAATACGTCCCTGGAAAATGGTCACAAAGCAACAATGTTGTCATCCAGCCTATGTGTTAACATGACAGGCCTGTTTACTTTTCCGGCAGACTGACGGTGACAACGGGCGTGTGGTGGAGGACATGGAGGGAGCCGCTCAGGCGAATCAGCGGCGAATGAATGCCGATCCGTTAGAGGTGATGCTTCTGAACATGGGTTATCGCATCACCGGCCTGCGTGGCGTCGGCACTGACGGTTCAGACGACGAAGACAGCTCAGAGGGGCCGGTCCAGTGCAGGACGAGCTAAACGGATCGCCTTCCATTCTGTAGAATGGCTTTAGGAAGCAAAGGACTCTCCCAGATTCCGTTTCAACACCTGAACCCCGCTTCCGCTGACAGAACATCGGCCGGCTGTCGTGTCACCTATCTGCACTATGCACCGCCCTCCCTTTGTCCCACACCAGGACCGGTGGCAACTTTTTTGGAGCGGAATTGACAGAAGGCAGCAACATCCTTCTCATGCTTTCTAAGTACCAACAGCGTCCGCTCCGCTGTGACGGAGGGTGGGGATGGCTTTTGAGGAGAGCGCCTTCCATGTCACTCCCCAGTTTCTCACAAGGAAGGAGATGTGCAGCATTTATACCTTCTCAGGGTTTTGTTGGAGAGTCTCGCAACACAAGGAAGAAGCGGCGTGGATTCAGTTGACCTATTTTCAGGTCACAGAACAGATCTACCGTCTTCTCCACGGACGGAGCGAAGCATCCCGGCGTCCTGCTCCAGATGGAAAAGCCGCGCGCGCACACCAGTCGCTGATGCTACGTTGGACTCGGATGGAGTTTGTGTAACAGGAAGTCATGGAACGAAGAGTAGCTCCTCACATTGTGATGATTGTTGCTAAGATAAAATGTATTTATAGTTTGAACTGTCAGGAAAAACAAGAGTTTTCTTCTGCCAAAGTTTACCATCTGTGTTTTAAACAGCCAAGGATTAATGTTTAGGTTCTCTATGTTTTATTCTGGCCTAATTTGGCTCATTTTTAGTTTAGAGCTTTAAAAAAATGCATATTAAATGAGTAGATTATTGACAAGGGAGTATTTGTAACACAAATAACTTTCAACTATTTTTTGATTTCACTACTTTGATTTAAGATGAAATTTTAAACTTTTTTTTAGGAATAAGTGGGAGATTTGTGTTATAACTTGGCTCAAATAGTCGTGACCATGGAGTTCCTGGCTGCATGGCTTCCCCATTAGTCCACTGCTGCTGTCAGGTTTTCAGCTTGCATGAGGCTTTTCACGATGAAGGGGGACGTTAATTTAAAAAAAAAAAAAAAATGCGCAGCTACACCTCATCAGGAGTGCAGCTCACTGAATTTTCTTTGATCCCAATTAAAACGATATTAATGAATGGGTCCTCAGTGAATAACATGGCTTCCTTCCATGTGTTTTACTTTCATTTACGCTTCTCAGTTTCCCCCCCTCTCCCTTTTTGCCAGGGGGTCCTGTAATGAGCTTTGGTGAAATTAAATTAAAAACAAGATTATTAACTTAATTTGTCTTTTACCTTTTTGTTCTTGTACTCCCACAAACATTGACTTTTGCACAAGTCAAACATCAGTGCAGACAGAATACTATCTAGGTTAGGAAGATGTAGCCCACTGTCTCAAGCTGCTGTATGCGCATTCATCACCGTGAGCTTTTGTCTGCGTTTCTGCTGACGATCGCACAACAAAATGTCCTAAAAACAGTAGAAATGAGAGTAGCCAGCTCCAAGCAATAGTGCCTCTAAAAGGAACATTTGGGTAAAATTATTTGAGTTGGAAAAACTTCTTTAGTTGCTAATTTGAGTTATTTTGTGATGTTCTATGTTAAAATAGAGAATTCTTCATGGGCCTACAGTTTTTGTTTTTCTGTTAAGTCTTAAGTTGTTCAAACTTTGGTTTAACATGATCAAAATGGGGATGGGTTTAAAGATTGTATTACTGTACTAGTAAAGTACAATTGGTTTAGCTTTCAGTGTGTGTGCTCAATTAACCCTATTTGTATTGCTCTAACACTCACCGACTGACATTGTTCTGTTACTATCTCGTTAATCACCTAGATTACAGCAATCGCAGAAAAATATACACATACAGAATGGTTGTCACATGGAAAGCATAACAGTTTCCAAAAGTAATACTTTTTGAACTCATCTTAATGCAACCGATGGCATTTTACTGAGACTTTCTCAGTAAAGAGACTAACACAAAGCATACAGGACTCTGTACTCTGGTTGCCCAAAAATAAAACAAAGTTGTAAAACCTTTCAAGGTTTGCTAGAGAATAATAGTAAACGGCATCATGATGGAACTCCACAGACAGGCCAGGGAGAGGAAATTAGACATTTTAGACAATGTTATTTCCCAAAAAATAATAACAATGGGAACTCATATTTAGAAGTATATTTTGGACACTGACACAATCGATTATTACACTTGATTTTGATATTGACGATAAAGCTCTTCTGATCGATGCAGCTGGACGCCCATGAATCTACCAATTTATCGATATCAAATCGAACAGAAAATCTTTAGTTTTCCTCCCATTTCGCAAACGAGCACACATTTCATCAGGTCATCAAACGCACTCAGTCTGTAGACAAGTTGAAGAGGTGTCAATACTTGTACTGAGACGGTCAATCGAAGTTTTTATCCATTTTTTTTCCACAAGATTTTAAATGAAGATTTTAAACATGGACCCACGCGTCCTGTCGGATTATGTGCCGCAACTGCCTGCCATACGCTTCCGTCTGCACGCCGCGTTTGCGTCAGCGTCGCCTGGGTCTCCCTCCGGGATCTCGGGCTGTGATGGCGGAGGTGGACGACACCGACATCATGATGAACTTCCAGGGCGATTTCCCAAAAAGCGGCAGGAAAAGCTGCCGCTACCCGTACTGCATTGTCTGGACGCCTATTCCCATTCTATCGTAAGGCGATAATAATCCCCAATCCTGCTTTTCTCGCGGTGAAAACACTGCTATGTGTTTTTTTTTGCTATTGTTTTTCAAACGTCCGGTCAAAGCAGATTGGTCGCCGCCGTGTGCTTTTACGTTCATTTGCACAGATGCACAGATCGTGTTCTGTTGACCCTGAACTGACCCGTTTCGTTCAATCCGTCCTGCAGGTGGGTGCTCCCCTTCATCGGTCACATGGGCATCTGCACCTCGTCAGGGGTCATACGAGACTTTGCGGGATCTTACTTTGTCTCGGTCAGTTCCTCTCCTCGGATCCTTTGGATCATGTGAAAACACATCAGCTGTAGCATGCAGACTTTGAAATGTTCTTGCATTTCTGTGGTTTTAATGGAAAGTATGTAATTTTCCCTTTCAGGAGGATAACATGGGGTTTGGTCGACCCACAAAGTAGGTGTGATAACTAAACTCTCATAGTTTCATAGTTTCAAAAGGCTGTTAAATCAATGACTCCTGCTGTAGGTACTGGAGGCTCGATGTGGATAAAGTATGCGGTAACGGTGCAGCAACATGGGACCAGGCAGTGCACGACGCATCCGAGGAATACAAATGCAGGCCGGTACGACTGCATACACCATATTTCATCAATCGTAACTCAGGCTGCTGCAGGATCATTCACATGTCTTTTGTTTCCCCCCCTCTTGTCGCATTGAAGCACAACCTGTGCATGGATAACTGCCATTCCCACGTTGCGATGGCTTTAAACCTGATGCGGTACGACAACAGCTCATCCTGGAACATGGTGAACCTCTGTGTGCTGTCCTTCGTTCATGGGAAGCACGTGAGGTAAACTGCTCACACTCACTTCAGCCTCCGGTTCTAATTGTGAGCATGTATCAGCATCACTTTGTTTTTTGCCTTGCGACCAGGTGGAAAGCATAAAACATAAAAAATACACATGGACACAAACGTGCATTGGCAAAAAACACAAAAGAAAACAATTAAGATTATTAATAAATTGTTCAAATATATCAAAAACGATCGCATTAAGATGAAAAAGCAGTCTTTTGGTTCCCGATCGCTTCCCAGATGATAGCAGCTCAGATTCACCATGATGTGATTGACAAGGAGAGGGAAGAATGTCTTTTGTGTGACTGTTTTTGAAAATGTTTCTGTTAGATCAGATAATAACATAAGATAAAATAAAACTTTATTACTGGAAAATTGTCTTTGTCTCTCCAACCAGGAAGTAAAACACATTCATACAGTGACAGTATCAACAATTTGTGCATAAACTGAAACATTTTGCATCTTATAGGCAGATGTTATCGATTAGTTTGGTTAAAAGTGGTTTTCTGTTCTTAGTGGCCCTAGAACGCCTTGAATTGTTCTTTGTCTCATACGGGTAGGTTTTTCAAGATGTCACATTACATAATAAAATCCTCCAACACCTGACCAGGTGAGTGATCTTCTCCCTGTAGATGACTGACAATAACTCTGTCGGCCACAAACTTCAAAATGTGTCGCCCTGTATGATGACTACTGTAGTTGTTAGAACAGGAAATACAACATGGGCCAGAGAATACAGCCAGGCGAGACAATGGAGGGAAAAACCCTCATCTGACTTAGAATCTTGGATCTGTCTCCAAGAGCATCTAAAACTCTTTCAACCACAGTTGGGCACGGATTAAAATTAGTCAATAATTTTGGATTAAATTAAAAGCGGAAGAAAAATATAAAAACAGCAAGTGTGCACAAAAACCAAGGTGTGTTTAAATATTAACTTAAGAAGCGTTGAGACTTTATTATAAACCCTTCTGTCACACCTGTAGAAAATTGTGAAATGTCTAATTTGTCCATAAATTACACATTTGAAAAGCCATATTGGGAAGCTTTTCAAAAGCTTTCATGATGATGTAAGTTAGAGCCGAATGTCTCCGTGTTTGCAAACTTTCAGCACAGATTGCTAAGCAAGTTTTCATAAAATCCAATTTATTTCCTGCGATGTGTCCAGGACATGTCGGATCGTAAATTACAGTCATGTTGCAGCACAAGCTTCAACTTATTTGACTTGGACTGAGTGCGACACATCAGAAAACAACCAACAAAGTTGCACTTAATGGTAAAGTCGAGGGAAAGTGACAAGGAGTTCAAACCTTTTTGAAAATAAGATTCTGAACAGCGTTTCAGGCTTTATATACAAACCTTCTCTGAAATTACAGCTGAATGTTTTGAAGGGTTTGTACACGCTTCCTGCGTTTAGACACTGAAATGTCCAGTTTGTTTCTGCTTAAGTTCTCGCTTTAATTGAACACATTCTTTTAAAGGAACCGTTTCACGTCCTTTAGATCCGATGAGAGACACCGCTTGTTTGTTCTCCTGTCGAAAAGTAGAAAAGGCGGCAGCAGTCACAGCTGTTGCTCCATCATTTGATGTGCTTTTTTTATATATTGTTTGATGGAAATAAAAGACTCATATTTATTCAGTTCACCCTTTAATTCTCCTTTTTACCAGAATTCTGCATTTATTCCTTAATAAATATTAATTATAGTTTTTTTAGAACTTCACGTCCATTTAGCTTTTTGATGGTTGAGTAGAAGGAGTCTGGGGTGATTATGCCCTCAACAACTTTTTCAACACTTGATGACTATAACTAAAGTAAGCCCAAAAAATGGCAATGTTGTTTTGCCAGATCGTATTAGTTCAAAATAAACAGGTTGAATTCATTTTCTTTATTGACTCAAAATCACTTTCCTTTTTATTTCATGGACATAAAAGCCTGAGAGAAAGCTGAAAGATTATAAATAAAAAGTGACAGAAGGATTAATGAAATGTGTGTTTTAGCAGGAGCCTAAACTTAAACATCAAACATAAGGCGTCTTGTTTTTAGATGTGTATACACCGTCTGGAAAAATGCCCCGCTGCCGGAGTCCGGCTCCATTAGGAGACATATGGCACAGAAACCCCCCACCCCCTCATTATTCTCCGCTGACCCACATACAGAACAATACAGCCACAGTTTGTACTGCCGCTTCCTGCACACTCCCACAGCAAAGGAGTCTTGGGCAATTCATCACTGACGGTGGCGCTCCCCTCCGCGCCACCGCTGGAGGTCACCTCTCAGCTGGATGGTTCGGTAGGACGCAGGCCATGGAGCCTCTGGGGATTAAAGTTGTTGTGTCCTTCAGAATCCACTAGTAGGGCATCTGTCATAAGAGATGTTTGCAGGTGTTGTCTTTAATACACGGTCTCTCTTTTCCCTCAGCTGGGCAGCGGTCCTGAAGACCTGGCTCCCCTTCGTCATGCTCTGTGGGGTCCTCGCCACGTTCATCCTGACTCTGAACCTACAGTAGTAGAGCGAGCGGCTCCAGGAGAGCGCTTTAGTGATGCTGTACACTGTCACTGACATGAATGGTGTGTGTTGTGATGGGGTGTTTGCAAAATGTCAAATGGAACGACTCGTTATGTTTTATTTAACAAGCTCACTTGTTGTTTTTAAAGGATTTGTATCATTATTTTTGCAGCTTTACCTTATCATTTGTATCCAGTGTTGCAATTCCCGATAATTTTATTAAATCACATGTACAATATCAAAAAATATATAAAACAACATAAAGGGTGGGGGAGGCACAGTTCTGCTCAGAACGCAGCAAAAGGTTGCAGAAAAGTGATAATTTAAACCTGGAATCCCAAAACCCTGACATCAGCGCATAGCACAATGTTCACCTAGTACAAAAGCAGCAATATCAAAATTAACAGCAAATATTTGAGATAATAAAGTGAGCTCAATTTATCCATTGAGCTGTGGGAAGTCAGGTGAAATCTCATCTGTGAGCATTAGCTTGGAGACCTACCAAACAGGCATTCTCCCCAGGGATTTAAAAGCTTTCTGAGAGTGTATTTTCTCTACAGTAGTGAATGAATGCTAGTGGTAGAAACTGTAATTTGAAACACTAGCACTCTGGCAGCAGTCAGACAAACATAATTTCTACTTTGGTTCTGGCCAACATTGTTTCTTGGATGTGCACATCAGGCATCCATCCACACTTTCCTCAGAACAACTCACCAGAATAGCCTACTTTTAGCTTATCACCCTGTACAGTGGTTGTGCAAACCTCACCTTTATCCATATAGTCAGCTTGTGTTTACTATATTACTTCAATATAGTTAAGAAACATTACTTTGAGGAGAGCGTCTAGCTCTGTCTGCAGTTATTTAGCGCCCAACAAAATGCATGATCTTTAACCAAGATAACAGCTCTAGTCAAGCAGTCTTGTGTAAAGACAAGTGAAATAAATGTCACAAGTGAAATGCAGGGAAAACATTTGGAGAGGTTAATTTGTGGACTTTACAGGTCTTGACAACAGATTCATAAAATAAACAATGACTGAGATCTAAAGATATAGAAACATATAAAAGGTATTATAACTAAAATCAATTATTATTATAGCGAGCAATGACCCAATTAAAAAGTATTTGCGTACCTGATAAACTTTATGCTGACATACAGCACCCAGAGTCGTCTAGCTTTTTCACCTGTCCTTAAGACATCTGTCTAAGGCTTGGCATGAACTGCGCCGTGTGCCCGTCCCTCATGTCTGGGTTGAAATCAGAGATCCCCTGATATTTCAAAATCCCTGGGCCAAACAGTGTTTCCAGTGGAGCGACTGTTTTTGGTTGAAATTTATTGTTTTTACTTGTTTGCTTCCAACCCTCTTTCCTGTAGAGATCATCTCTGCAGCAGATGTGCTCACTCGGTTCGTTTTTGTGTGTTGCCAATAAGAATCTATTTATTTTGTTAATTTTTTTATGCAGAAACCAGTCCTTGTCCTTAGTATAGTAGTAGTTCAACAGACTGGCTTCAGAAAATACACTGCCGTTCATAAATACTCGCCTCCTATTTTTAGGAAGGAAGTGGCTTCAAATGCTTTTTTTAAAAAATCCATTATCTGCTCTGAAAATCTGGTTATGATTTATTTAAGTTTCATATTTTCAATATTTATGGCTCTTATAGCTCTGAAAAGTGACATTTGCCCTTTGTGTAACAAAGTTTTGTTTCGTTTTAGTACGGTACAATACAGGGTCTGCAAATCTTTCTTGCGCTTGTAATTTTTAATAAGTTTTGTTATCCTATAATATGCTGTGTGCTTTTTCTCGGGAAAAATAGTCACATTAAGGAGGTTCATTTTCACCGTAATCCACCACAGGGGAGTGGTGTGATGCATTTTTCATGAGCGACACTGATAAATCCGTTTCTGCGGCGCCTAATGTCGACTCCAGTGATGAATCGCTATAAAATGGATTTGAAATCTTAATGCTGAAAGTTCTCATCTGTTTTTTTTTGTTGTTTTTTTTTGTGAATGAGATCTGAGTCGCTACCAAAGACAGAATGGTGTGAAGAAAAACAAACAAACTTGGAAGTGTCTTTGTTTGAATATGTCTAAGTTATTTATTCATTATTTGCAAGCAAATTATGAATGCTCTGTAATTTTGCAACCTGGAATGTCACTGGAGCAGGACTCACCACTATGAACAGATCTGTTTTGAAAGCGATCTACCTACATAGCTACTGTTTAATAATTGTTTAATTTTGTACGTTTCGCAAGTAATTGTTAATATTCTCCCGCTGTGTCCTCTGTCAGACAGTGGTGTAGGTCAGTGGCTGTGGGCGCTCTAATCTAATCGTCCTCTGTACCTTTAAGGGAGCCACATACCTTTTTTTAGCAAGCAGATTCAGTTCGATAGGAGCAACCATCAATTTATGGGAACCCTTATTCCCACCGTGGAGCAGATGAGAAGGCACTATTGCTGGAACAAGCAGCTTTTCCCACGAACGCAGTGTTAGATTGGCGTCAGAAGGAAAAGGTCACATTTTTCTCTGCTGTCATTTTCCTCTGCAACTTCTTTGTTTCCAATTTTTTCCAATTCTGCAGACATGTGCCTTTTGGCAGCTTGTGTTTTTCTAGGAGTTGTCCTTTTACTTGCAGCCTATCAGTGCTCGGCGTGTCCTTTAGGCTGTGAATGTTGTGCGGTCACCCACACGGTGAAGTGTGTCTCTAAGGATCTGCTCGTAGTGCCACAAAACATTCCAGGATATACCCGGAGTGTCGTCATCACAGGGAATAATATACATCAAGTGGGACCAGATTCGTTTACAGAACTGCAGAATGTCACCAACGTCATTTTAAGCAATAACAGGTGAGAATGTCAGTGTTCTGTTTTTCAGTGAACTAACTTTGTTGGCGTGTATATAATAAAGAAGCAATGGGTTTATCTGTGGCCGTGTTTGTTCCCTTTAAAGATGCTATATGTGTTATTCAGCATTAGAATGGCATAAAAATGTCTAAGAGCAATTGTCACAGTGTTAGTCGTCTTCTCAGGATCACAGAGTTGGCCTCCCACACCTTTGCCGGCCTCACCAGCCTGCACTCCTTGGACCTCAGTGGTAACCAGCTGGCACTAATCCACCCAGAGGCACTCAATATACCCGGAAGCCCCCTTCAGGAGCTCAATCTGAGCCGCTCACTGCACAACTTCACCGCCCTGACCGACCTGACCACGGCTCTCCGCTGGGGCGGACTCTGGGGGCTCCGCCGCCTCGACCTTTCTGGAAACCTCCTGGCCCTTCTCCCGCCTGGCATGTTCTCCCACGTTCCCAATTTGCAGCAGCTCTTGCTCAGGAACAACTCCTTGGTGACTGTCTATGCGGGGACCTTTTCCGGCATAGACCATCTGGAGACCCTAGACCTGACGCACAACGACTTCGAGGCATTCAGGCTCGACGCACTTCAAGAACTAGAGAGACTTGGCAACGCTCAGATCTTTCTCGGTAACAACCCGTACACCTGCTCCTGTGAGAGTCGGGACTTTGTGACCTGGCTGAATAAAACCAGAGCCCGGGTGGATGCTGACGCGGTCAGATGTGCATCACCGGAGGCGCTAGCCGACACCCGGCTGCAAGGGCTCACCGTCCAGGCCATTGGTTGTGTAGTTCCAGTCCTGGCTGAGGTAGCTGACCTCACCTTGCAGACGTCATACGTTTTCCTGGGGGTGGTGCTGGGCTTTGTCGGCATGGTTTTTCTCTTTGTGCTGTACCTGAATCGAAACGGCATGAAAAAGTGGATTATAGAAACGAGGGACGCGTGCCGGGACGTTCTGGAGGGCTATCACTACCGGTACGAGATAGACTCTGACCCTCGGTTGGGTCACATCACGGCCGGCTGTACCCGGCCACAAAGGCATTTGGGACAAGGGGTGTCCCAACAGCTGCCAAACGACACGTGTATAGTCCAAGCCCCGACAGAAACACAAGTCAAACCAGTGGCAACCTCTCTTACTGTGAACTCGTGATCTTGGAGTTTCATTGAAAGAATAAAAGATACAAGTGAATTTTTTAATTAATTAGGATATCAGCCAATGATTTGTTTTAGTTTAAAAATTCAGTTCAAAAAGTAAAAGTCGCATGCATTGCCAAGAGTGAAATGTGTCGAGGGGTTATTTGTTTAATTTTTTATAATTATGGAAAATGTTGACAGGTTTCCACAGTCAGGGTAAGCTACAGAAAGGTCACTGCAAGAGATGCTGGATGCTTTGTCCTAGCATGTCAAAATGTGGGGAAAGAACAGGAACAGCAGCACTCTTTTTCATCAATAAAGAAAGCACATTTTATATTTCATTCGAAAATCAAGGTTCCAGAAGGAAGGAGAGGAGAGGATTGCTGCATTGTGGCAATAATTCATGCAAAAGAAGCCCCAACATAGCCCTCAGTGGGTGAGCTGTACAGTACGTGAAAAATCTTTATGAAGCCAAGATTTCTGTATAGAAAAAAAAGGGTTTTGTTTATATTATGTAATTTTCCAATTTTCTGAGAAATTTACTTTTGGGGTTTATCTAGCCATAAATCATCAAATTGAAAAGAAATAGGTGGCTGAAATCTACCACTTGGTGTGTAAAGATTAAAGTTGCGCTCTTTAAGTGAAATGATTTAAATGACCTGAAAAATATATAGAGAGGTGTACTTTTAGAATTTCAATATATTTATACTCGCTGTGTATCCTTTAAACTTCACCATAAAAAGTGCCTTTGTGTTTTCTTAGGCACGTGAAAATAATCTCTAGATAGTTTCTGCTTTTTAGATAAACGCTCTTGTTTATTAGTTAGTCTTAGCGTCATAACTACACACATTTGGAAACTTCACTACAGGTAGCATCGACGGCAGCTCAGAAGCATGGATAATGCATGAAAAAGCATAAAGTATTAAAATATGTCTTGTATTATTAATACTGTTGTAAAGTTTCGAAGCAAAAAGTTCTCGGATGACATATTTTTGTTGCATTTGTCTTTTGTTTCTTCACACGTAGCACAACATGTTATTTGAAGCACATATTTCTGTTCCAAATAAAAACATTTGTTTATTTATATTTCATTTCTGCGCTCCCTTATTGTGACTGGAGTCCAGAATGGAGATCTACGGAAAATCATTTGTTTTCCTCCGTGTGGCGTGTTCCCACTATTTCTGCTCAAAGAGTGTGTGATTAAGTGTCTACGTTCAGTGGAAATAGGACAAAATGAAAGATGTTGTTTAGAAACACACCTGCTGGCTCTGCAGCTGTGCACCCCGGTGAGCATGCCAGGCCTGCCTTGTATGTGTGCGCATTAATTACGACGGTGGTTTCCAAAGTTCCTCTGCTCCTGACCTACAAAACAGTTGTTGCCAAGGCTTGTGACCCAGACGACTGCAGAATACAAATATTGATAATGACCAGTAGGATGGATAATTGCAACACTAATGGCCTCTGCAAAGCTCCCATCACATCTGGAACTGGTGTTTCCACCACTTTTATGCAGTCCCGACCCTCACAAAAGTTTTTCATACAACTCTATTTCTTCTCATTTTTAACTTTAAAACCAGAATTTTTAGTGTGATTAAGTTTTTATTTTTAAGTAATTGTTCTGTGGCTCAAGTAGGTGAACAATCTTTGTCCTGGATTAAAAAAAACACACTCAAAGCTGGTGTTGTGCATTTAGATAAACCCTTCTCCCTTGTAGGTGGAATACAGTTCTGTTGTTTTTTTGTTTTTGTTTTTTTTCTTCTCTTACCAATCCTGGGTTTTTCGAGATGAACTCACGCTGACGTCTTTTAAAGATACTCTGATCATGTTGAGCAAAAGATTTACACATACTTTCCATGTAGAAACGTTGGATATTTCATGCAGAAAGTGACGCAGCATTTTCCTTCAAGGCACACACTGAGCGACTGCTGAGTGTGTGTGTGTGTCCGTGAAGTGGGGATGACTTCACGGACCTGACTAAACATAGTCAGGTTTATCCCTTAGCGATAAACCTGACTATGTCCACTTCAAACCTCTGAACTAAAGGATTAAACAAAGATTTCACTGCACTGACCAAAATTATAGTAATTTGGTTTTGAAGTTATATTAATTGATTTTTTTTCAGCAATGGAGATAACAAAAGAAAAAAAAATATATATATATTTTTTGTGCTATTTTGCAAGTATGTGTAGGCTGTAAGCCATTATAATTTCAGTGGTGGTTATGCGCTACATCGTCTGGAACCACAACAGTGGTCTCAATACTCATCTCGGATTTTTTTGCTTTTTGTAACAAATGTTCACGAGAACCACTTATATAGTTCAAATAGAGGTTAAAGTTGTTTTTCTTTTGTTTCTTCGTTTTTATTTTATTTTTTGTGAAATGTACTGTTGCGTTAACTTCCTTTTTTATTTTTGTCATTGTTGCTCTGCACCTAAACATCCGCCTCGGGTGACGTCAGCACGCACCTGTGGGTGTGTCCCCTGCTGCGGTATTAGCTGTAGCCGCAGGTGATAGCCAAGTACAGGGAAACGCTCGGCAGCTCCGGGGACTCGCTTTTTTTTTTTTTTCCTCTGTTTTCTTTGACCAGAAGAGACTGTTTGGATGTGCTGGGCTGACCTGGTTCGGTGGCGGCGCCGGACTCCGGGCTTCGACCGTCTCGTCCTCGCTTGTTGGATGAAACAGTAAACTCACCTGGAAGTACCCGGTCCGGTCGACACCTTCGAGGCGCGAGCAGCAGCAGCAGCAGCAGCAGCCGTGTCGGTGTGAGACTTCCGCGGTTCGCTCACCAGCGAGCACCACCACAACTGTTTCTGCTTATGCGGTAAGTGGGAGCTTTGCAAGTGAAATGAGGAGCAGTTGCTCCTTAAACGGGCTTTTTGGCGCTGATGGCACAGGTAGTCTGGAGCTAAAGGGGAACACCCCAAAAACTTCAGCGAAGGCAGCAATCAGCGCACCCTGTTGTTGAATTCATATAGTTATTTTTTTTAACTGCTTAATTGATCAGATCTCTGAGAGCTTTAAACTCTGGAGTTTTATTCTTCAAATAAAAGGATTATTGCATACTTAAAAATGCAAAACGGTGGAAGAAGCGTGCAAACAATCAGAAGGTGCTAAGCTAATAAAAATAGGTCATATTTATTAGAGATACAGATTGACATGTAGAACTAGGGGAACCAACTGGAAGCATCTCTCATATTTATAATTAATGTAAAATACACACATAAATACCACAGTGTGCTTAGCAGCAAATAAAGCATTCGTTTTGTTTGTAATGAAAAGTACAATTACAATTATATAATATGCAATACAATGTAAACAAGTTTAAAAGTAAAAGGAGATTTTAGCTGTTAAGATGAATTTAAAAGTACAGCAGAATCAAATAGAAACAGGATTTTTTTAATCGGATAAAAACGAAAATTTAATATGCAAAGTCATCCCCTTTGGCCACCCTGCAATAAATATACACAAAATGTACACATTTTTGAATAAATATAAAGGTTTGCATAAACAACAACAAAAAAAACCTGACATGCAATACTACTGTCAATTTTAAAGTAAAACGTTAAAATTGACAAAACAAAAATCTAACACACTGAATGATGTACTGCATCTCTTAAGACAGATAAAGATCAAAATGACATTTTACATTTAATGAAATCAAATCATGTTACATTCAGTTAATCATATTCATGGTACGTTAAAACTGCAGTCGAAAAATATTGAATATGAAAGACTAAAATTATACAAAATGCATAATTAAGAAAACATAATGGCTTCACCAAAGACTAGTATGAACGAAGTAAAACAAGACAAGCAAAAACGTAAAAATGTTAAAACCCAATAAAATTAACCATCAGACATAAATAAAAATACATTGTTTATTCATGGTGAAATCAAAGTTGGTGGTATTGAAATCAGAATGCAATGTTTAAATAAACAAACTACTTTGGTTACACAGAGTATCAACACATTTCGTATTTCTATTTGATTATAGCACAGATATATAATGAGATTGAATGTCCTTCTCTGCAGGCCTTTTTGTCATATAAAGGAGTAATGTCCACTAACATGCATGGCTCTCTTTCCCCCTGCAGGCCCCGGGCGTTTTGAGCCATGCCTGGCCACAGCTCAGGGCCTCCCCAGACGTCCCGCCACTCAAAGCACCACACCTCCACCTCTCAGGGCAACCACAAACCAAGTCGAACTATATACAGGGAGAGCACGGGCTTAACTGACCTCAGGGACCTTCATGGGGAACATTTCCGGGAGCACCACAACGACCACCCTCGGCATTCGGAGAACAAGAATGGCCCCAGTAGAAGATACCCGCGAAACGGCACGACCCGGGGCTCAGAGACTATAGGATTTATTCCAGGGTCGGCTGACAGCGCGCCGGCCAGCAGGCCCTCATGTGGCTCCTGCCCCTCGATGGGCTGGAGTGGCTGCAAGGCCTTGCTCTGCCGTATGCTCAATTGTGGCTGTTGTGGCAGCCGAGAGCCCTCTCTGCCCGTTAACGAGAGCTCAACAGACCACCCACCCAAATCAGGCGGTGAGCCTTCTAACGGCGTGGCTCTGACCAACCCAACCTGTGGTGTCTCCATGGAGCCCGGCAAGCCCGCCAAATCTGCCAGGTTACCCACCAGCGAAAGTTTCCGTTACCAAGACGTTCGTTTTCGAGGCGAGATTGTAAATTATCCAGTGAATCCTTCCAAACGGACCCGTCCTCCCGCAAAAGGGGAAAGCCAGAGACCGATCAGCAACACCAGCCTCTTGTCCAACGACTGCTACGACTTGGACGACCCGTGCGACAGCACAGACGTTGACTCTCTTATCACCAAGAAGCTCTTGGAGCTGTACGCCTTCCATCAGATCGAAGAGCTCGCCAAGTGTACATCCGATTCCTCTTTCTTCCGCAAGACGAACGAGATAAGCGAGCTCATCTACAGCATAGCCCAGAACTACAACCTGGAGGAGCAGGAGGCCGAGTGCAAGCTGGTGCATGGGGTCATCCGCATCAGCACCAGGAAGGCCAAGAAGAAGGCCAGCCACCAGTCGACGGGGCAGCGTCCTAACGGCAGGAACGACGGGACTCTGCCCGATAGCGGCAACGAGACCATGACCCAAACCTTCATGAGCAGTGATTGTAAGGAAATGGCAACACATGTTTTTGTTGTAGTTATATTTTTAAAAAAAATTGCTGCAAAGATTTATGATTCATGTAGGTATTTTGCAGCCTGGAGGTTGCAGAATACCAAATATTGGAAACATCTGACCTGTCGTCTCCCAGTGACTCATAGTCTGTTGGAACGTTGCAGTCTTTGTTTAGCTCAGAGTTGTAAGCCTCAACACACTAGACATTTTGCAGGCAAAGGCCTATTAACAGTCAGTTAATCTGGGGCAAGTTGAAACATGTACGCATGTTTCACCAAAACACTGAAGCAGCAGATGACCAGATTATTTCTGCCTCTTAAACTCATAGCAATACTGGTGGTTGCACCCTGTCCGCTTGTCTTCATTGTGTCCATCTGGCTTCCCTTCGCAGTTCCAGAGGTGAAAGTGTCTGAGCAAACGCCGTCAGATGAGCTGGCGAGGAAAATGAGACAATACGGCTCAAGAAGTGAGTACATTTGGGGAATTTTTCACCGACGCATAGACACTTGTGTGATTTTTTTTTCTTTTTTCCCTGTTTGTTTTTGGAGAGGGTATTAAAAACACAGAAGGAATTAAAGCTTTAAGGATCTAAAGTTATTCACATTTAGTTTCCAACTGTTCTTATCTTAGAGGGATAATTGTGGGACCACTGCAGCAGTAGGCATCTTCTCAACTTCTTTTTTTTTTTTCCCCAGTAACACACCTCACCTTACACAGCAAAGTGCTGCATTCCTGCCCTTTTCTTCACATATTACAATTCTCGGCTGGTGAAAAGCTCCCCCCCCCATGCTATTGAACGCCTACATCACCTGCCTCGTTCTCTCCCCCCCTCCAGCTCTGCAGTCATGCTACACGATCTGCTTAAGCAGAAGATTAAGCCACATTAAATACATGTCCCCTGATTTATTATGTCACTTTAGCAAACAACTCAGGTTACAAATGGATTACAGTGCAACAGGCACTTTTTCTCCCCCTCCCTCCTCGCTCTTATGTGAAGAGGTTGCTAAAAGGGACTGGGTGTCCTGTTACATGTCTTTGAATGAGGGTACAGCACATTGTGTTTCCATAACTTTCACAGTGAGGCCTGGGAATGGATCAGCGGCTTGGGTTAAACTCGGTGCACCTTTGATGCTGATATACAGTGGCTGCTGAAGCATTCATACGTTTTGAACATTTGTTTTGTTGCAAACCTCTGTGGGTTGCATGTGTTGAAGTGGTCCATGGAAACATCATGCTGTTGGGATGCAGCGAAGCTAAATGGATGCAGCTAAATGTAAATCCAATGTTCTAAATGTGTAATCCAGTCAAGAATAGCATTAAGAAGAGAAGTAGGTCTGGGGGAGCTTTACAGGTTCAAAACTTTGAAGGACAGGTTTAGCTGATTTAGTATTAAATTGTAAGTGGATTCAGATTTCAGTTATGACATGTGGGGGAGTTTTTTGTGCTTGTTTTGTTGTCATTAAATCAGTGGAGTTTGGTTATTGTACCGATTCAGTAGCTTTATTAAATGATAACATGTTTTAATAACTTAATAATATTAAGTTATGAGTTATCAGCACAAGAAAATATAGATGTTATAGAAGCCCAACCCTGAGGCTTGGTGGCCTAACAAGGGAGCCTTGAGGAGCCCCAGATTTGTTACTTATTTTTGATTATCTAATGATACAAAGTCATTAGGTAAAATAAGACCTGAGCCAGTTTAGGACAATCTCTCCAACTTTCCAATTGATCAATTTGTTTCCTATGATCAGATGTGTCAACTTCTATAATCAGACATTTGCATGCATTACATTTAAGAGGTTTATCATTCCAAAACTTTTATCAGTGTGATGTCAGTGCTGTGGTGATCCAGATGAAGCTTTTTTTTTTAAAGATGTTTGATCACTGACATTTGTAGCCTCTGTTTATAATCCTCTGTGTAAAGGTGAGTATTTAATATTTACAATATTTGAGGTTCTTAACAGCTGAAGGACAATTGTCCTTTTTTAACTGGTGGGGAATATGAATTTTGGCACTCAAATAATGTACAAAGTCTTTGCAAAATCAGATTAAAGTTTATTAGGAAAACGTTGTGAGCTTGTCAACAATAGTAAATAATGTCTGGGTCAGAGCTACAGTGGAATAGTTTGGATCAGATTGAAATTAACTAAAAAAAAATGTAAATATGGAGCGAGGATGCTGACGTCATCATTGGTTGTCTGTGAGTGCTGCTGTTTGTTTTCGTTCTTTTTTTTTTCTGTTTTCATTAAAATGATAACACTTTAGTGATGGGCAAACTTTTTCTGTCGTACAGCGATTATATAGACCAACCATGTCGACTGACCCTCCTGCGTCTGCAGAGCGATCATCTTTTCCCATCTGACAGCTTTTTTTAAAAGCAAAATGTAATCTACAGTGGGCCAAGAGAAGCAACTTTGTTGCCCATCCCTGTTGTTTGCTGATGTCACTTGGGCGTCAGATTTATGGGGGTACGAGAAACATGCCAACGCATAGTCTCTGCTTGAACCTATGCCGCTTTTGCAATAAAAAAAAAAATCCATTAATTACGTCGTTAATCATCCCCTACCTTCTCTTCCAGCATATTCCTCCAGCACTTCCACAGCCTTCTCTCACTACCAGCACGACACCGGGACAAACTCTTCAGGAGCTCCTCTGCTGATTTGAAAAGCTACGCAAAGAATCAAATGTCTATATGCTGACAAATCATGTAGCCTCCTTTCATTTATACTGTTACTGAGCAGAGCACCTTTACCCTACATGGGTATAGTTCTCCTTACATTGGTCTTCAAAAATTTTTTATCTTTCCTTTAAAAACGACCAACAGAGGAGCTTTTTTTAATTATTATTTTGTCATTTTCTCATGGCAGAGGGATGTAAGATTTTTGTTTTGTATCAGCGCAGTGTTTTAGGTTTAGACAGTAAAGGCCTGCGAGGCTAGCGGCAGGACAGAACCGTCCTCATTCTTGTCTTTGTTTTTGTTTATACAAATTGTTTTATTCTGCATGTACAGCTTAAAGTCTCCTACCATTTCGCTCCACTGCTGAGGGACACTTTGGTTTGTTTCACCCGCAGACTGTGTTGTTAAAAGCCATATTTTGATGTACATATTAAGTCAATGTTACTCTGAACCCCTTTGGATTTGTTTTTTTTATATGTGATATAACAATTCATGTTTTGAACGAAATAAAAATTTCAGTCATTGTTTTTAAGCCTTTCGTTTCACTAAACTTGTTGCCCATACGCAGTACACACTGCCTTTCTAATATCAGCAACACATCGGAAAATGAAGGTCAAACCGAAATCCGCTTGTAACAATGTCCTCGTTTTCAGCGTTTCTTTCCCTGCGTCGACAAATGTTTCTGTAAAGTTTTCTCCCTGGCCCACTTTTTCTTCATCTCTGGGACTGTTGTCAGGCTCACCTCCCCGAGGTCAGTGTTGCAGCAGGCAGGGTTTTTCCGCCCTCAGCAAAAGACGGAACTCGTTTGGCTGGTTCTGACTCAAGGGAAATAAAATCCAGGGGTTTGTCTTTGTCATTTATTGCAAAATGAAGACGGAGCACGGAAAACCAACCTGATTTCAGGAGTCAGTCGATTATGTTTGGTGTCGAACAAACACTTTTTACACTCTGGAAATTTTAGATTCTGGTGTTCTTTTATGACCGAGGCCAAAACAAAACCAACCCAAAAAAAAAATATATATATATATATATATATATATATATATATATATATATATATATATATATATATATATATATATAATTATCCAAGGCTAAACGTGTTAGCTGCTGGTATTTAGGACCATTTTGCGTCTTGTGTTGTAAAACAGGACGTCTGTCAGACTGCGTAATAAAACTTCTCCTGAACATTCTTTTGACTTCCTTTGGAAGCAGATGAGAAGAGCTTTTGGTTGAGTCATGTAGAAGCAATGCTTGCTCCGCAAAGCTTAAGCACAACATGTAATTATCTCTGTTTTCTGTGTCTGAATTGAAGCTTTTCAGGCTTTTTTTTTTCCCCTTTCTTTTTGCCCCCTTCTGTTATTGTTGCAGTTTTCCTGAATAACCCCGTTTCCTCTGGCCCACTGCCCCCGCCGGCACATTCCTGTTTTACCTGCACAGGTTGTCATGTGAAGACTCAAAGTTTCACAACCCGCATACCAAACAGTGAGATGAGTAAGGACCAAGCAGGCCTGTTCCTTATAAATCACAGCATTCACACCATTGGGATTTTTTTACGACCGTGGTTTGCTGTCGACTGTTGTATATCATTACTTACTTTTACGGATTAAATTGATGAGGGGGAAAACATTGACATTGTTCAGAAGGAGAGTAAATTAAAGAGCGATTTTCAGAAAACTACTTGCTGGGACAAAGAAAAAAAAAGATTCCATCATTTTCCATGAGAGGGAGACACAGGACCATTGTTAAAGTTGCTGCAATAAGCGCATGCATTATTGTGAAGTGGAAGGAAAATAGGAGGTTTTCAATATTACCTTACAAAATAAAGTCTGAACAGTGCACTTTGCATTCAGCCCCCCTTTCATATAACGCCCTTAAATATACAAATGCGGCAATAAGAAAACCAGAAAGAGCTCCATTTGTTTTGTTTTTTGCCACAAGCCAGGCGGGAGACAGCAGACAGAAGAAGCAGCTTTGGTCAGCAGAGGCCGAAATATTTGTGGTAAACTAATGCAACACAGCAGCCAGAACACGCTCATCCACAGGAAGCATGTCACTGAGGCTGCTAAAGATTTCCAACCGGGGCAGAGGTTCACCCTCCAGTCAGACGATCAGCTGAGAGAGGATGGTTTATGTCACAGCATGTTCATGTGTCAGACTGGTGCTGTCAAAGTCTAGACCTAAGTCCAGTTAAGAATATGTTGCAAGACTTTAAAAAGGTGATGTGATGTTCACAGATTTGAACTTTTGTTCATTTTTTTTTAAAACTGTTGAGCAGTTCTGCAGAGAAGAGTGCAGGAAACATTCAGCCTCATGCAAATCTTGGAGTCAAACGATTTCCAGATGTTTTGAAAGGACGCACAAATTCATGTCAGACTTTTTGTGTTTTTTTTTATGAGCAACTAACATAAGAGATTTCATATTATTTTCCTTCGTCTTCATAATTGTGCACTACTTTGTGTTGTTTTGTCACACTGAAATTTATGGTTATAGCATGTGGTTTCAAGTGGAATGATTAATTTTGCAGGGTGATGCGCAGGCAACATTCACCCTGAATCTTAGTTTTAATTTTGCCACAGTTTTCCCAGCTGGTCTAAAGAAGTGGCGTGGAAACGTTCAGATTTGTGCTTTTGGACACACTTGGAAGAATTTCAAAGCCTCTTTGTTGTGCAGTAGTTGAGCTGAACGTGTCAAAAATGCATGGATCTGAGAGTGAAGGCATCACTAGTGAATTCATGTACAAAAATATATTTATTTCAAGTCTTCATTTGAAGCAAACGACATTTATATACAACAACAAAGCAACAGAAAAGGTCAAGTATGCTGTGGAAAGACAACGCTTTCTCTTTAGTGGAGGATTTCTGCTCAGTCTGGACTAAAGTGACCTCAGCTTCTTGAAAAATGGAAGCAAATCCTAATCCCGTGTAGAAAAATAACAGTTTCTCTTGACAGTTTTTTGCAAGATTTTTTTTTTTTTTTGGCTGCAGCATTGAAGGGGTGTAATAATGATGGTGATAATAATAATGATAAAAAAACCAAATAAACAGATGATCATGGATTTCTGCAGAAGAGCATGTCGACCAGCAGCTCCAGCAGGTTGGCCTGGCCAATCACAGGCCGGAAGAAGAGCTCGGTGATGAGGCTGGGTGTGATGCCCTGCAGCGTGGAGGCTGTGAGGAGGATCCGGGCGAAGCGCTCTTGGTGACCCGGGTGTAGGAGCTGGACCACCTCGCTCAGGGCGTGCTGAGCTTCCTGCTGCAGCCCCTCCACAAACAGGCCTGCCTGTAACTCTGGCACATCTGTTGTTGAAATAAAAGGGAATATATTTTATTTTTAGGAATCGTGTACTTTTTTTTTTTTTGCACACTTGGAAGTGACTAACTCCAGTGAGCTGCCTACCTGGATTAAATATAGTGGTCCCTTTCAGGTATGCGTACTCCTTCGGGCTCAAATCCAAACTCCAGAACTTCTTCAGGCAGCCCCTCAGCCTGCTGACGCCCGCCATGGTGGGCTGCTCCCTCCCCGTCTCCTGGCGGTTCAGGAGGATCTTTTTCAGCATGCTGTCGGCGGGAACGTCCGTCACGTCGAAGTCCACGCGCTCCTGGGCCAGACCCAGGATGAAGAGCGGCGCCCAGCAGCTCCTGAGGAGGGCGTGCTGGTCGCCCGGCGGCAGCTGCTGGAAGGCCGGCAGGCTCCTCATGAAGCGCACGGTCTTCACCAGGACCGCGGAGGCCTCCCTGCAGACCTCCGCGGGTCTGACCAGGCACACCGACCTGCGCACCTCGCAGTTGCACCTGCGGGGAGCCGAGATGTGGCGGAAGGCGCCGCCTCTGTCCATTTGGCTCAAGATGTTGTAGAGGATGGGATTCGGAAGCCGGTCGCCGCTGCTCGCGCAGTCACACCTGCTGTCCATCTTTTCCGACCAGGATGTTCGGTCTCTTCGGGTGAACAGTCGGCTCTCTCTCTTTCTGTTGGGTGTTAATGCTTCCTCCTGTCCGCCTTTACTTATAAAGCCGCCCCCCCGTCCCTCCCCGCCCTCCGCCTCCTTGTTGGACCTTGAAATGTCAATACACTCGATGTGAAAAACAACCACGCGCTCCGCCAGGTCACCGCTCGAACAGCCCTGGGAAACTGATAAGCTTTTCTCAATGAAGAGCAGCTGCTGGAGTAACACACGGACACCACGAGGGGATCGGCCTTATCTGAGAGCCGGTGTCGTTAACCCAGGCAGTACCGAGCTTCCAAGGCCTGCAGAGGTAATCAGCCTCCCACTGTGTCACTGCACCCGCCGCCTCACACCTGTGGAGCTGGAAGGAGGCCAGAGCACAAGGGGGGGAAAAAAAGTGGCCTTTACATTATGTCCTCATTAAGTGGCCTTTTATCTAAATAAACATTTAATCTGGAAGCAACATTGTGAGTGGTGTGTGGAGGCTGGTGTTGGTTTACACCACATCGTTTAGCTGCTTTTCTTTTTTTCTTTTACATTTGGTTATTTCTAATGCAAAATTAGCTAAATAAAAAAAAACAATTAAACTAGGTGTTGTTATGATTCTTATGTGTTTGGACATTTGGTTTCAGTTCTTCTTTCTTTTTGTTTTTGTTCATTTCCATCTTATCTTGCTCCTTGTCTTGGCTCAGTCAGTCTGATTGTGTTTTGGATGTGTCTTTTTAGATTTGTGTTTCTTTCCGTGCACGGTTTTATTGTGTTTGGCTCTCATTAGTAGCTAGTTAATTAGTTAATTGTCATTAGTTCTCCTGGCTCTTTTGTCATTTCCTCTCCCTCCTGTATTCAGCTTCCTGACGTCATTGTTCTCCGCTGGCTCCTTCCGTTGCATTTCATCTCCTTTCCCGGTTCCCAGTGGTTCATCGTTTGAGGTTCATTGGTTATTTCTTTACTAAAACTCCCATCTAACTCCACTCTGCACTTTGTCCTCTTTTAAAATCCACCCATTAAAACACGTATTGGTATTGTTGGCATTTGTGTGTGAATGTGTGTAACTGGTGTTAGGTAATTAGCTAATTTTCACAAAGAACTTTATCATTGTTGTTATGCATGTGTAAATAAGCCAAACAAATAAACTTTTCAACAACATTTTGATTTAAAAGAAGAGTGTTGGTTGTACGTAACGTGGATGTTGTTGTCCTAAAATAATCAAAAGAGATAAACAGAAAAATTAGATCATGGAATTTCAATTTATGGTTTCTGTGACAGGCAACGCAATGTTTCGCAATCCTAATTTATTATCCTGCCTGTGCCTGGCACCGAGGGGGGAATACGATAAGCAAATGACTTTATTATGATCTCATACAAACAAAACGGTAAAAGATGCTTTTTTTCTTCTTCTTCTCTTGGTTTGGACGTTTAGCTCCTCGGTGGATGCACATGAAAAATGTTTATGACTTGGTCAAATGACACAAAAGAAGTTTTTTTTTAGTTTAGTTTAGTTTTTTTTTTAACATTTGCTCTGAGTGTTGCCCAGGAGCTTTAAAGTGTTGCAGAGGGAAAGTTCCTGGAGAAGAGGTCAACTGTGGAGCAGCGAAGTCAAGGTCAGTCATGTAGTGTAAAACTGCAATAAAGAGATTAGACGCCAGACACAACTGGCAGCACCAGTCACCGAGTGTTTGCCTTACTTCATTAGTCTCTCTACTCGTTCCCAGGGGCGGAAAGTTAGGACAATGCCAAGGGCCCCTGACCAACAGGGGGCCCTCCACATTTTTTTGTGTGTGTGTGTTTTTTTTAAAGTGTCAATTCATAACCCAGTTTTTCTCCTAGACTGTGAGATTATCAAGCATTTAGCATAGTTAGCTGAGCTACAAACTGCTGTTTGCCTTCATTTCACTAACATTCAATGAATTAAGGAAATAAATTATCAACATATTCATATATTGTACCTTTTACCACATTTAACAGCAGATGAGTCGGTCAGCAGCAGCTGTAAACCAAGTCCCTCCTGACCCGTCCTCTCCTGAGTGAAATTAAAGCTGCCGTAACTTTTATACTTTTTTTTTTTTTTACATATTTGTTAAAACTGTCATTATGTTGTGACTGACAGTACAGCATGAGAGATGATCTGAAAAAAATGTATTTGCTCTGCTCTTGAGAGACATTTCAGTAAACTAAAAGTAACAGAAAAAAAAATTAGCAACCGACTCGCACACTGTATGCAGACTGTTTCATGTAAAACTCACCAGCAGTAAATATTGTGCGAGTTATCAGTATTGAACCAAAGAAAGCAGGGCAGTTGCAAACCTTTAAAATTGTGACGCTTTTGATGGGTCAGATAGACTCAAGAAATTGTAACAGCATCTGCGCGGGGGGCCCAATTTAATTTTTTTTGCCATGGGGCCTCAAGAGTCCTGGCGGCGGCCCTGCTCATTCCTTGAAGGATTCCTCTAGAAAATATTTCACAACCTAATTTCTTTTCCCCAGATGAAATCTCATTTTAACACACTAACCGTCTATACCAGAAATAATCGCCCGTGTGCGAAGGAGTGCGACTTGAAAACAAGAAAACACATCACAATATGAGCATTGCTTTTATTTTATTTTAATTTTTTACAGGGTGACCTGTAATGCACCTCGGCAGCTCTTAGGCTTCATGAAGCATGATGACAGTTGTAAATGGCTGTGATAAGACCTGTGTTTATAGAGGTTAGGAGCAGGCAGAGACGGGCACGGAGGACAGACACTTATCTCAGCCAGGACAGTAAAAATAAAATGTCCTTCAGTCTATAAGTGGAATGTTCTGGGAGGGAGGAAGCACCGCCTCAGGTTGGATGTGATGTAATTGCCTTGTCTTCCAAAGACGATCCAAATCTTCACATCTGTAGTCACTTAAAATCAAAACAAGCTTAAATGGGTCAAAAATTGGGAACTGTGACAACATAATTCCACATTCATGGATCCTTTCATTTACATATTTAAAAAATAGGGTATCTATTTAAATTTGTGATCTATTATACATCACTTGACAGCTCAATTTGCTCTTCTTCTAAGGGTTCCCCCGAGACCTGACTTGTGTTAACTTTACTTCCTCCCGTTATTTTTCCCACTGGGTCAGTGAACTCCCGGCTCTCTGTGTGCACGATGAAGAGGAGCATGACTCCATGCTTTGCTTCACGGCAAATATGGCCGATTCCTGGCTCTGTTTGGACAAGGTCATCAACACCAAGATCAAGTTGTGATTGTCGAACAAATGTTCTCAGAAATTTCAGCCGCATTTATACTCATATTGCTCAGTCAGGTTTATGATCCACTTCTAAGCAAGGTTGTGTCACATTGCTTTGAACTTTCCATGACCTGATGTGGGCGAGCGATGAGATCATCTGTGGTGACTTGACAAAAAAAACAAAAAACAACCAAGTGAGTTTTATCTGCCGTTTTATCACAATAGCATAACCTATAGGAGTAATGCTATAGTGTGTCTTTCTCACATGCTAGGACATATGGATATGTAAACCATACTCAGAAATCCAAATCATATAAATACTAAAAGGAACTAAAGAAAATACCTTTTAGATTTCTTTGCAAAAGAACTTATTACTCACCAGAAGGCCTTCTGGTGAGTAATACTCACCAGAAGACCTTCTGGTGAGTAATAAGCTCGGATACCCTCACATTTATTCTCCGTTAAATGTCACACAGGTGGATGATGTGAAGACCACATGATGAGGACATTGTTACTCAGCATATGAAGGTGGTTTCATTTAGCAACCTGTACCGTGTGCGTAAACTAACACTGTCAGAGTTAAGGAATCACGTAAATACAATCTTTGCAACAGCATGAATTAGGCTAAAAGCATCAAGAAGCAACATATTATGTCCATATAATGAATCCATTAACATCTATCCGTCTGGGAAGTTTTACACAGCCATTTCCCTGGAAACCAAATTTCCAGCAGGAAAGCAATCCAAAAAAAAAAAAAAAAAAAACAGTGCTGGAGTTCTACAGATTATTTTAGGACACATTGCAACAAATTCATATGTTGGAGCGGCCCAGTCAAAGTCCACCTGAAGATGAATGCCCACAGACGGCAGAACAATAACTTGTTTAAGTTATTGTTGCAACAGTTTTACAAGCCACTAAATACATATATACATGAGTACAAGATATTAATAAGTGAGATAATAGCTGAGAATGTACAGTAGACCTAATCTGAGATAAAGTGTACCACAGATAGCACTACAGTGTTCACTGAACACCGGAAGGAATAATGAGCCATGAGGAGCAGATTAGACAGAAAGCAGACAAAGAGAAGTAGATAGGCTGGACTCAGTTTCCAAGTTTGTAAACACCACCGTTGCAAAAGAAAGCTTGATTAAATACATGAAAACATTTGACTGCTAAATATCCATAGAAATAGAGAAAAAAGTTGGAAAGCTAAACAATTTGGAATTACGTAAAAATCGAGCTTTTGAAAGCTCCTCTTCTGAAAGGGACTGTGTCAGGATACTTAGTTATGAGGACTTTTACACAAGGCTTCATGTTTAAAATGGACAAATATAAATTCTATATAACGTCAGGAAAACGGGAACGATGTTTGGCTTTGACATGTTGCCTCTGTTCTCAAAAAAATAACCTTGTCAGAAGAAAAGATTGTTTAGCATGCAGCCACAAAGAAGAAAAAAAGTTATTAGCCATTTATAATTTGATATATAATATGGCAAATGCAACAACTACACAGGCCTCAATGAAATAAGTTTACACTTTGTTGAGCGTAGATACCTTTATTGACAATAAAGACAATAACATGATTCTAAGAAGTACAGAAGTTATTAAGATGATGAAGCTTTTGTAACATCAGATTAATATTTATTTTATGCTTTTTCACCAATAAAGTTTTGTTTCTGGAATCCTTATGTGCCATATTTATTGTACTATTCTACTCTATGAATCAGTGCATACTGGAAATTTTGAATGCGGTCTGCAAAAAACTTAAACATCAAGTAATAATAATTCAAGGT